ATGGTTTGAGAGGGGGGTGAAGGAGGCAATTTATGTAAAAAGAGAAATGCCGTCTCTTAACAGAGGAGGAGGCCTCAGATTTCCACTTTCAAAAACCTATAATGCAACTTTAAAACAGATTCCCAGCCGGTTTTTCACACCTGATGGGAACAGAGGGGCCTCGTCTGTGTATTAGAGGAACAAAAGACTCTTACTCTTAATGTTTGTTTAGGTGTGAATTGTCAATCTACATATGTGTGTGTGTGTCTTATCTCACTCAGCCTTATAACCTGAATCTCTCACTCTCTGCTCTTTGAATTGAGAAAGCTCCTCGGATGAGGAGCGAAACGTCTTCTGTTACAAATAAAGTCCAGTTGTTTTTGTATTGAACGCTTTTTGAATTCATCATGTCCTGGATGACTGAGAATCTTCACCAGCAGTTTACAACCATATTAGCTCAGCTCACTCCCTTTAGTTTTAAATAGCTCAAAAGACTATGTATATTTTTAACCCTGTGTGGTTTAGAGGAAATCTACAATAAAATGAAACATGCACTCAGTTCTTGATTTTAAAATGACTGAAGGTAAAATGAAACATTTCAAGCCTGAGTATAATGTGACATTCATTCAAGTGACGAGTGTAAACATAATATTTCTGTCTCCTTGGTTGGTTGGGAAACAGTTTTGTTCTGGTTAAGTGTGAGTTGTTTTAAACAATGTGTTGCTCAGCAAACCCTGGACAGTGGTCGGATCGGCATAGCATCCCAGGCTCTCGGCATCGCTCAGGCCTCTCTGGACTGCGCTGCAGACTACGCACACAAACGCACCGCGTTTGGAGCACCCATCGGCAAGCTGCAGGCCGTACAGGTAACCCAAGGCCCGGTCAGGGGCAGAAAATGTCCATTTAGTTTTAATGCTGCTGTTCAGTTTTAGTTTTTAGGTTGTACTGGGACTAATCCCCAGCAAATATAACAACTTGATCTTTGTTTCAAATTATGACTAGTTGATGCATCTCTATTAGCAAAATATCTCATAAACCACTGGACACATTTGAACGACTCTTTCAGGACATCATCAAATGCACATCTACAACTGATCAACTTTTAAAATTAAACAAATATATTGCATTTAGCCAATTTTACACACATTTAGCTACAATATGGTAATTAGGCAACATGCTTTTGTTGATCAACTTTTAATTGTTTTCACAATTTATTTTCTTTTAGTTCTGCACCTTAGAACCAACCATTTAACGCTAACATCAGAACTGATTCAGTGTTTCTTTGGAATTATCCAGTTTAAACTGGCCGACATGGCTGTTGCCACAGAAAGTGCTCGCCTGCTCACCTGGAAGGCTGCTCTCCTTCGTGATTCACAGAAGCCCTTCACTAAGGTACGCACTCTCCTCAGACTGAAGCGTTCATGTCTGCTGCCGAGTGCTGACCTGTGCTCTGCTTGTCTGCAGGAAGCAGCCATGGCCAAACTGGCAGCGTCTGAAGCCGCCACTTTCTGCGCACATCAGGTAAGAAACTGGCAACGCAAACCCAAACGTCAACAAATGTGGCGTGGTTTCAAACCTCTCTACTTCCAATCAGGCCATCCAGATTCTGGGCGGGATGGGCTACGTGACGGACATGCCAGCTGAACGGCACTACCGCGACGCCCGCATCACGGAGATCTACGAAGGAACCAGCGAGATCCAAAGACTGGTGATCGCAGGCCAAGTCTTGAAGGAATATCGACAATAGATGCGCTTTGCTCTGCGTATTTTGCACCTGCTGGACATCTGAACCCAGATCGAGTTCATCTGCCAACACAGACTTTACCTCATGAATGAGCTGCAGGTTCATCAAAGATTCAGGCAGTTTTGTTTTGGCATTACCTCCAGTGTCTTGTCTCCAGGCGCTTCAGGGATGGATCAGAAACACTGGAGGCTTCAGAGCAGACGGTTCAACTGCAGTCAGTAAACTGTTTCACAAAGGCCATCTTTTATCAAGAAAACCCAACGACTCAGGTTTCATCAGCTGTGAGGCTTTAATATCTGCAGCAAGTTCACACATTATGATCAAAAGAAGCTTTCTGCATGTATAGTTTATAAAAAAGTTTATTTTCTGCATATCAATATGTTTATGAACATATTCAGAGTCATGAGTATAATGTGGGAATTTAAATGATTTATTGAAATCATTCTTTTTCCTAGGGTGGAGTGATTATACAACAATCAACTGTTTTACATTTTTTAAATCACATTTTTAATTGATTGTGGATTGATACAGGGTCAAAACTATACATACACACCCACTACTATTTGGCTAAACGTCTTTATTAAGTGTCCCACAAGCAGCACAATCCCATAGTGGACCAACCATTTTGATTGTGATAAGATGGTTTCTGGGGCCCGCCCTCTCCCCTGTCAACTCCTCTGAGGCAGCCATAGTCAAAGTGGTTCAAAGCTTCAAAGTTCATGCTCAATAATCCAGGTAAAAAACTTGAACTGCGCATGAACTTTGATGTTTTGAACCACTTTGGCTATGGCTGCCTCAGAGGAGTCAACAGGGGAGAGGGGAGCCCCAGAAACCATCTTATCACCATCAAACTGGTTGGTATACTATGGGAGTGTGCTGCTTCTGGGACTCAGTTTGTTTGTGGCTCCTCGGACTGATGAAGTCCTTTGGATGAAGGACAAAACATCTCAACAATAAAAAGAAGCTGTCCAGATGACCTGACTGAACTCTGTTGGATTTTCTACCTGGATTATTGATCATGAACTTTGATGTTTCTGTCTGATATTTGATTGTCGTTTGGGCAGAACTGGTAGTCTTTTTAATTAGCTGGTTTCCTGGCACGGACTTTGCTTTAAACTTAGTCCATAAATGTTCAGTCAAGTTGAGGACCAGGCTCTGACCTTCCAAAACCTTATTGTTAGCAGCTTTACCAATCAGAAACCAGTTCTGGTGTTGGTTTGATGTCGTCGTCCTGGTGGAACGCTTATGGTAACCATGTCCTTTGTCATTCAGTCCACTTTAAGCAGTGCACCACTACCATAGCATGATGCTACCACCACCATGTTTGACAGCATTATGATCTTCGTCTTGAAAGCTTCCTCCAAACATAGTTCCTGTTGTCTTTGTGGACTCTGCTGTTTTCCAGCAGTTTCCAGTTTATGTCTGACTTTAGCGCTTTGGTTCCAGTTCTTTCCTCTCAGTGTGACATGTATTGATCAGTCCACTGAGTATGCGAGTATTGATCAGTCCACAGAGTATGCGAGTATT